GGTGTGCACAGCAGCATAGAAAGGTAGGCCTTCCATGCTAATGTCTTGGAATGCAGGATGCTAGGGTCTGCCTGAAATCATACAGGATTCAGTCATAAGTGTAAGTTATAGTCACAAGTCTTTGTATGTTAGTAGGTACTTAATGTTAAGTAAACTTTTACAACAGTCTCTGTCACTTAGTATGAATCCCAGGTAAGAGCTGTGTCATTTTTCAAAATGACCTTCTGTTATGTTTTTGCAGTGGTTGATTCCACATCCATCAGTTTGCTTTCCCCTCTTGTTTCAGTGGTGGCTGGCTTGTTTGCTTTGGATCTGGGGCAGCACATATGAACCACCCCAGAGAGTGAGGTGGTCAGGACATGTACATAAGCTATTTAGTTGCATGACAGGATTTAAAAGGTTGGGATTATAGATTGCAATTAGTGGGGACGGTAAGCTGTTACTCATTTTATGGAAATGCTTCAGGGCAAAACAGAATGTGAAATTTGTTTACAGTTGTCCTTAGCTTCAGGGCAGGCTTTATTTAATTCCAGACCCATATTTTATAGCAATTTATAACCTTCTTTCTTTTGGATATGAAAGAAGTCTCTGGTTTGGGGCTTTAATTCATACCTCTATGAACACAGCATTAAACTGCTAAAAGGGTCATTCTTTGAATTAGCTGTTAAGACAGTCCCTTCTGTCACTTCTGATGCACGGTTAGGTGGAGGATAAAGAGTTAGGGTTCAATTATGAACTCAGTTAAAGCAGTGTAACTCTAATATGCTTGCATTTGTGTTACTACATGAAAGGGAACTTTTGCCCTTAATAATAGGATAGTGATAATTAGCTGATTGGCCAAACTTCATAAAAATCACAATTCTCAGATAGGTTATTGGCCTATGTCATGAAGAGTTATTGTTGGTGAAGATTAGAAAGTCAAATAATTTCACTTTTTTAAAGAATAGTTTCTATTAATCTATTTTATGACTGTGGGATTTATCAGATTTCTTTTGGAACTAGTGAAGTATGCACATTCTAGGAGACCCCATTTCTTAAGCCTCTGAGTCATTTGTAACACTTGTGAGGTACCTTATTATTCAGTTATAGATTCCTCCAGAAGCCATATAAATCACATAATATAATAGTGGCTAAATTGAATCAGGATATTACTGAATGTAATATATAGTTTGTCTCACATCAGTATATATCTGCCATAATTCTTAACGGAACTGTTAAGAAAGAGAAAATATTAATCTGTCCAACTGCTATTTTTCACATGTACAATTGATGCGAACTACTCTGTAGTGGTTTTATTTGTGAGCATAAGAATGGCCATACTGGGTCAGACGAACAGTCCATGTAGCCTGCTATCGGGTCTTCCAACAGTGGCCAATGCCAGGTGCCCCAAAGGCCCATGTAGCCTGCTAGCGGGTCTTCCAACAGTGGCCAATGCCAGGTGCCCCAAAGGGAATGAACAAAACTGATAATTTTTAAAGTTATATATCCCCTACTGCCCATTCACAGCATCTGGCAAACAAAGGCTAGGGTCAGCATCAGTCACTGATGGACATATCCTTCATTAACTTATCTAGTTCTTTTTTTAACCCTATTATAGTCTTGATCTTCACAACATTCTCTGACATGGAGTTTCACAGTTTGATTGTGTGTTGTGTGAATAAATACTTCCCCTTGTTCTAAATCTGTTGCCTATTAATTTCATTTGGTGACCTCCTAGTTCTGAGAGAGAGTAAATGACACTTCGTTACCTACTTTCCCCACACCAATCATGATTTGATAGTTTGCAGTTATATCCTTCCTCCTTTTCAAAGCTGAAAATTCCCTGTCTTACCTTCCTTACTTCTCTCTTTTCAAAGCTGAAAATTCCCTGTCTTATTAGTCTCTTCTCATATGGCAGCCATTCCGTACCTCTAACCATTTTTGTTGCCCTTTTCCAAATCTTTTCTGATTCCAGTAGTAGGGATATAAAATTAACCAATTAGCGTTAACCAATTAAATGTAGTGTTTAACCGGTAAACTGATTAAATGGAGGTGGATGGGCCACTTCAGCCTGGACCCACCCCCTATTGGAACAGTTCTAGCCTGCGGCAGGGCTGGAGCAGCCCTCCAGCTGCAGTGGGCCACAAGCAGGGGCTGCACCCAGGTACCTGTTAACTGTTGCCCACAAGCATCACCGAGTTAACCAGTTAGCCATTTACATTCCTATCCAGTATATCTTTTTTGAGATAAGGTGACCACATCTGCATGTAGTAGTCAACATGTAGGCATAGCATGGATTTATATAGAGGCAATACAATATTTTCTTAGTTTTTATATATATCCCTTTCCTAATGAGTCCCTACATTGTTTGCATTTTAGGCTGTTGCAGCACATTGAATGGATGTTTTTAAATACTTATCCACAGTGACCCCAAGATTTCTTTCTTGAGTAGTAACAGCTAATTTATATCCTATCATTTTATATATATATAGCTGGGATTATGTTTTCCAGTATGAATTACTTTGCATTTATCAGCATTGAATTTCTGTACATGCACACAGCAAGCAAGATTCATATGAGTGTTTTTCCCATCCTAGATTAGATTCAGACAGAAATTGTAATATTTTTACAGATCTAAACTGGCAGTCTTTTATGGTCAAGAACAAATTTAATGATATTCAGGACCATGAACCAAATTCTAACCACAGTTAGAAACCTTGCCTTTGAAACCTTGTGGATTTCATTATAGTTGAAGACTAAATAAAGTCCTGGGTGTATTGTAATACCTGAATATTTCTGATCTCAGTGGAAGTTTTGCCTGATTAAAGAATGCAGAATTTGATCATTTTCTTTATGTGGTTTTTAATCAGATTATTTGAGCCAAAAGTTGTTTGGTGTACTCAGCTCCCACCGTCTTTTCACACAGGTAATTAAGGGCAAAATTTAATCCATAGGCCCTGATTTTTAGAAGGGACTTCTTCCCATTCTGAGTAGGCATGTAAAATCCTGATTCATCAGTGAAATGGTTAAACGTTAGGTTAACCCAATGTTTAACCAGTTAACTGACTAACTGAGATCCGGCCCCGGGGCTGTGGGGCAGCAGCAGGCTCCTGGTCCCAGGGTCGGAGGGCTGCTGTGAACACTGCTGGTGGCAGAATGCTCCTAGCCCTGGGGCTGCTGCCGCCATCAATGGTAGGAGGCTTCTGGTCCTGGATACTAGTTAACTGGTATCCGGTAAGCATCATCTGGTAAGGGTGTTGTTTACCTGTTAACTGGTTACCTGTTCACATCCCTAATTATGAGTGCATAAAATATTATTGGTGCATATTTTTCAACCAAAATACATATGTGTGCCGTTGATACACTCAGAGATCCACCTAAATGGTATCCACAAATAACATATTATTATATGTGTAAATAACAATAATTGCATCTGTAATTATTCATCCTCGTATATTTGTACCTTTTAATATTATAATTGCAAAAGCACGTGCTTATCATAAAACTCAGACAAGAGGGTCTTTTCTTCTCTTGCTTAGAGTATCATAAAACTCAGACGAGGGTCTTTTCTTCTCTTGCTTAGAGTGCATGTTTTCTTGGATCTTCTCTTTCTCCAGGAGTACTTGGCAGTAAAGTCATTCTCCAAGACTCCCTATATTTCTTTTCTAACTAGGTTAGTTTCTCTGGTGTAATTTTTATACATGAAAGCAAGTATTGCTAGTTAATGAACAAGAGGACCAGAAGGGGATTAAACAATAGCTCTGAAAAAGATATTATCTATGTTTCTTTAATTTGAAATATATGGTCAATAATTACCTGAAAGATTGGCGTATTCTAATGAAACATAAAAATTGATACATCGGAACAAATGAATGGTAGCTGATCAATTATCTTGTCTCTGACCGTTGTGAGTGCCACAAGTAAAAAAAATGTCATTAACAGTCTTCCATTCACATTTTCTGTGCTGTGGAACACAAAGGGGAAAATCTCTTTCTTGATTCTATTTAAGGAAGAGTTTATGCTTTGAAGCATAATTTTACCAAGTATGTCATTCTAGAGCTACCCATTAGCTTTTTGTGTGCTGCATGAGTTCAGAATAAGGTAAGCTGGAAAAAAAAGTTGATTGGTTTTTTTATGAGCTACTGCTTGATTTTGTTGTTACATTTGTGTGCTGGTGACCTTTTCTTGGCTTATTGTTTTGATCTGCATGATTTTTTAAGCAACCTCATAGTTAGCAACAAGTAGTATTTTTTTTTAAAATACTGTAAAATTAAGAATTTGGAAGCTCTTTGTTTTTACTTGATGAATGTCAGTTGCTGCATTAGCTTTGTTTCAATTCAGTATTGTATGTTATAGCCACATAGGGCTTGTTTTTATCTTTCCACCCCATGCTTAAAGCTTATCTTGCCTTTAATTTAGGCACAGAATTCTCTCTAAATTAACTGTGAGTTCTGTGCTTGGAACATTCTCAAGATTGGGTCCTTGAAGTAGAAGGCATGCCTGATAACTCCTTATTGGTTGCTCCAACAGACCGGAAGGAGATTCAATATGTTCCTGAAGCGACGTCTCAGGGTAAAATTGTTATGAATTATATTGCTAGTGGCCTGGATGGCTCTGTCATAACATGTTTCACTGTGCCATGTCTTGTTTATTGGGAACAAAGTTCACACTCAGATAAATACTTACAAGTTTTTAGAGAACTTTGTATGTACTTGAGCATGTAACTAGGACAGAATTTGATCTATAGTGAACAAATAACATATCCCAAAGTGTTGACCTGTGTAGATTGCTTTATTTTGGAGGGGTCTTTCAACACATAGCAGGTCTTCTAGAATAGGGTAATCAGAAAAATCTTGTGTTAGTAAAGTTGTTTTTTCTAGATAAAATAGTATGTTGGATTATCCAGGCCTAATCAGCAACAGACATAATGAGGTAGTGATCTTTAGTACCTTGAAAGTACAACTTAGGTAGTTCAGTTACTCTGATAGAAATTCATGCCATTCTAGTATCTTGGAAATGAAAATATGAAATGAATTACACTTACTCCTCTGTACTCCTGGTGTCCCTAATCCATTGTGGTGGCAGAGAGTGTGGAGCCACATGTGCTATGGGAGTGCAGTGGCAAGTAAGCCCTTAACCCCTCACAGCCAGACCCCTCCAGTGCCCTTCCTGGCCCAGCAAAATTCTTTAATCCAGCATTCCCTGTTTGTGAGGGTTGCCAGATTAAAGAGTTTCAAGTGTATTAGTTTTGGGGTTTTTTAAGTACAATTTCCCTGTTCTCCTGGTTCATTGCTCTAGGAATGTTTTTTTAAAGGAAGCAAGTACAAATGATGTAACCTGTTATATATAACTCATATGTTCTTTGTGTTCTCATTATATATACTGTCATCTAAGTATTATTGCTCAGCAATGTTTCAGAACAACTGCTGCTATAATGAGTCTTGTTTTGAAATAGGAAGCGCATGGACTTTCTTTATTTTCAGAGTTGCTGTGGAGGCACTAGCTTCAGGTTTTTAAACTGTGCCCTTGTTTGCCTTTGTTTAAAGGGACACGCTAATTATTTTTTTTACAGCAAGCATGATATTCTCAGACACTGAAACACTTACCATGATCATTTTTACCGCAAAGTGTTAATTAAAGAGGAGGAATTTCAGAAGATGGTGAGAGCGCCCTTTAACTTGCAGTATTGCCAGGCATTGCTATACTAATGTATGTCACTGTATGTAATGTTTGTGAGTCATAAGGCATGTGGATGGACCATTCGTATTTACTGCCAGTTTTGAGATCACTTCATAACTCCCATATAACAGATGGAGCTGTTGTTGAAATGCTACTTGAGCACAAATCATTTCATAATTGAAAACACTGAAGAACTGAACTAAACTGAGAAAAGAACCCTCTCCTCCACCTGGTTTTGGAGCAATAACAAGATTTGATTTTTAATTGTTTTCCTTATGTTCTCCACAGATTAGCAAGAAACACCAAAGCAAAGATTCTGTTTTCTTCAGGGATGGTGTCCGGCGAATTGACTTTGTACTCTCTTATGTGGATGAGCCAAATAAAGAAGAGGAAAAGAAGGTGGTAAGTTCCTTTTGTGGTACCTTCTGAATGAGGACATAGCATAGACTTGAGTTTCCTTCATAAGTCCTTGGAATCGTAAACATGAATTGGACTATCTAAAATCTCACCTATTTCTCTATATAAAAAACTTTTCCTGTGGGATGACAGAGTGACATCAACAAGTCACTACGACCCACCATCCCTCTCCCCTCAGCTGCCCAGCCTTCTCCCTCTCTCCCTCTGTCACTCTCCCCAGTGCTGGGGGGAAAGGGGTGGGAGCCACGCACCCTCCCCCATTCCCCCCAGTGCGAGGTGGGAGTCACGGGACCTTCTCCCCTCCCCGGTGCTCTGGGGGACTGGGAACCGCATGGCCTCCCCAGTCTCCTCAGTTCTCGGGGGGGGGGGGGATGGATGGGGTTCTG